GAAGCGGCGAGTATGTAACTCGCAAAGTATCCCGTGAAACGAACCCGCAAAGACGCGGGCGACGAGACACGTGGGCGGGCAACCTCAACCTACAGCTTTGAAAGCCTGCCAACGCGAAACTTCAGAGCGTTACATATTTTGTACTTTGAGCCGGGCACGGTCGTGAAAACCCGTCAGCCGATAACGAGCAGCGCCCGGCGGGGGGGGGGGGGACTCCTGTGCCGCGTGGCTGACGCGGGGAGGTGGACTTTGGGCGCGCGACGGCACTCCGCGGACTTTGGGAGGAACGGCGTTGGGTCCGCCCGGCGTTTCTTTCATTTTTTTTACACGACCGTGGCTCTGCGCGATATTTTCTAAAAAGAGTCAAATGAAGAGCTGTAATCTTTGTAAATGTGTCCGATTGTATATGTATTATGTGTGTTAAATAAAGAATAATGAGATTAAATGACGGCATGTGAGTGTCCGTGCGGTGTGAAGTTGCGATCGTTTTTGAAAGCGCAGCGAAGGCCACGGACAGATGCAACAGGAATTAAAAAACGAAGCCGCTTGAAGCTTTTATCTTGCCAAGTGAGGCCCACTGAACTCTCAACTCTTTTTCAGAGGCCACACATGACGATAACGAATTGGCAAGTTTTATTTACGTGTCACAAACCCCTTAGCAATTGGCTGCGTCGGGTGGTGGTGGTGGCGGCGGCGGGGTTTAACGACACATTTACGCTTCGATTTAAAGCTTTCGTGACTGCAGGGATTCATCTTCTTGGTTCTTTCGGTAAAGTCACGTAGAAGGGAAATAATAAAATTTAAAAAATTAAACATTATAAAATACAATTCTCACGACGTTTCGGCCACAACGCAAGCAGCCGTCCTCAAGTGAAGAACAGGGCCTGTCGGAAAGACATTCAGACGCTATTCAGACGCTGTCTTTCCCACAGACCTGTTCTTCATTCAGACGCAGTCTTTCCGACAGACCTGTTTTTCACCTGAGGACGGCTGCTTGCGTTGTGGCCGAAACGTCGTGAGAATTGTATTATGTTTTATTTTTATTATTTTATTATTTCCCTTCTACGCGACTTTACCGAAAGAACCAAGAAGACACATTTACATGATCGAAGTCAACACATGGTGGGGGTTGGTGTCGTTAGTGGAGCGATCTTAACTCGCTGCCGAGCTGCGGTGAGTACTCACACGTGAATGTGTCGTTAAATCCGCTACTACCACCCGACACGGCCTGTTAGTAAGGGGGAGTTCACGTCACGTTAACAAAACTTGCCAATTCGTTACTAGTGTAATGTGAGGATATATCCGGCTCACTGACGTATCACAACTCGTCACGATGATCGGCTCTGCCGGTCCTGGTCCATAGCCAATGGGGGGAAGCCTAGGGGCGTGGCCCTGACGTAATAGAAAGGTGACAGCTGTAAGTAGAGGATTGGTTCCGCTGGCTTTGGCCACAGCCAATGGGGAGACGAGTCAGGGGCGTGGTCCCGGGAGCCGACGAGGCAGCCTGGAATATTCCATGGAGGCTAACCAGGATTGGTGGAAACGTACCACGTGACCCGGGTATTAAATAGGGGTGGAGACGAACGACACGTGGTCAGAACGGGAACGAACGGAGGAAGGGGACCACGCGGGAGCGGGGCTCCGGGTTGCCACGTGGCAGTGCGTCTCTCTCTCTATCCCTCTCACGCTGCCTGTCAGCAGCGTGAAGGAGTGTTGTAATGAAAAGTGAATAAAATACCGGATTCCAGTACAGCACCGTGTTTGAGAGTACTCGAATTTGAGATGTTGTGGCTTTACACTCCAACACACAACCGATGGGTCCTGTACTGGTAACGGATTGGCCACACTTTGGTCACGTGACACGAGCTCCCTTACTAATCGGCGGTGTCAGGAGGTGGTTGCGGGTTTAAGGGGCCGTCCATAAATGACGTCACGCGATTTTGGACGATTTTTGACCCCCCCCCTCTCCCCCATCGTCACGCCGTCACAAAAAGTCAGACCACTTCCCCCCTCAAAAATTACGTCACAAAGCTCTGCCCCCCCCCCCCCCAAAAAATATAAAACATGCTTCAAATCGCTTTAAACTATTGTCATTGTAGTGCGTATTTAATGTGGCGCTGCACTCTGATGTAGGAGAAAACGTTTATTAAAACGTATATTTAATTAAGTAGAACGTGTTGTCTATATTAAAATTGATGTGACGTCACATTTCTCAAACTCCCCCCCCCCCTCGTCACACATCGTCACAAATTTCTGACCCCCCCCAGGTGCGTGACGTCATTTATGGACGGCCCCTAACGACACATTTACGCGATCTAACCCAACGACAACCTCACGGATAATATTGGTAGCGAAAGCATCCTCCTCCTACTTCTACTACTCGTGTTGAAGTGCTTACGATGGTGATTGGTTCCTCTTAATGATTCGGTAAGATAGGGATTGTCAATATAGGGGTGAGTGGGTGGTGTCGTTAGTGGAGTGATCTCAACTCGCTGCCGAGAGCCGGTGAATGCGGGTCGTGTCATCCCACCCCAATAGCCAATCGGTGGCCAGGAATTCATAAACAAGAGACTTTTAAACACGTGATGTTAGTCTTTCGCGAGCAATATCCATATAGAGGGGTGTTTTTGGCGTTAGAATTCGTAAATATTTATGGGTGCTTCCATAAGAGGTTTTTTTTGGGTTAGAGCTTGTAAATATATAAATGTCTCGTTAAAACCCGCCCCACCACCCCGACAGCCAACCAGTAAGGGTTGTCGCGTAAACAGAACGTGACAAATTCGTCACTAGTACAGCACTAGTGTGTAGTGTATAGTGGTATGTATAGTAGTGTATTCTGTATAGTAGTATAGTAGTGTGTAGTAGTGTATAGTAGTGTAGTGTGTAGTAGTGTAGTGTATAGTTGTATAGTAGTGTAGTGTGTAGTAGTGTATAGTAGTGTGGTGTATTGTGTATAGCAGTGTAGTGTATAGTGTAGTATACGAGTACAGCACACCGGTGCGTTGGAGAGCCAAGCCACAACATTTACAATCGGAGTTCGCGTTAAACCAAAGTAATAAAAATAATTCACAGTCATTCACTCGCAGAGGTAGAGAATTATTCACGGTTGTGGGAAACCACAGAGAAGCCGGGAAGGCAGCCAGAACCGGCGCCAGCAATTCCCCAAGTTCTGTGGTCCTATATTATTGGGATGTTTGGTCAGCTGCATTCACGAGCGTGTGGGAAACGGCGGTACCCATGGATGCCGCACGGATGTTAAGGTGGTGAGTTCCAAACAATCCCCGAAAAAATGAAAACACATTCCTGCGGAGAGAGCTGGTAGGAACGTTGGGTTTTCTCGGTGAATGGCCAGGGTCAATGGCGGCGTGGTGTATTCCGCAAATATGCCCGACTGTGAGGGCGGGCACAAGCCAGCATGAGTAGGTTAAACGTTGAGTTTCATAAGGGCACCACGGGGTGACCAGCCCCTCCCCACCCAGCCCCACTCCTCCCACCCCCCCACCCAGCCCCACCCTGCCCCTCCCCACCCTCCCCACCCTCCCCACCCTCCCCACCCAGCCCCTTCCCACCCAGCCCCTCCCCACCCTCCCCTCCCCACCCAGCCCCTCCCCACCCTCCCCACCCTCCCCTCCCCACCCTGCCCCTCCCCACCCTCCCCACCCAGCCCCTCTCCACCCTCCCCACCCAGCCCCTTCCCACCCAGCACCACCCTCCCTACCCAGCCCCTCCCCACCCAGCCCCTCCCTGCACGACGGACACAATAATCCCCTGTGGGCTGGTGTAACCAGGAGGTTCCTACCAGTATGAATCCACTCACTGTACCGCCATCGTACCCCCTGGGCAAGCCAGGAGATGGCGACCTCGACTCCTATGGCAAGGGAGTTTCACGAGCTTGTGTGGTCCACCAACCACAAAAGTGTATTGGTTTGGCCACGTTTCTTTGTTGTAGTACGGAGTAAGACTGATGGCCTTAATCCAAGTTGTCTTGTGGTTGTTGTTGTTTGACTTGCATCCCACTGGGATTTTTGCACACGGCGTTGGTGTACGGTGCTTTTTTCTGCAATATTTTGCTGTCTTTTCTTGAATTTTCTGTTTGCACTTAGTCACATAGTCACTTTAAGATGTTTTCTTGTTCATGTTTTTGTTTATTGTTTGTTGCGGTTGCACCCGATTCAAGAGCCGAATGGCTCACAGGGCTACACCTAATAAATGAACTTGAACCCCGATTCATTTTCACTGCCTACGTTGGCCCACTGATTAACGGCGAGCTTGAGTGAAATGTTTGTATATATGTGTGTGTCTTGTCTTGTGCCGGGAAAGGTCCTGGCAAGGATTATTCAACATCGCCTTGCCAGGCACACTGAGGAGAGGCTTGCCGAGCCCCAATGCGGTTTCAGACCAGGGCGGTCCTGCACGGAAGCCACGTTCACTGTCCATCTGCTCCAGCAGAGGTGTAGGGAATTCCAACAAGACCTACACCTCTGCTTTATCGACCTGGTCAAGGCCTATGATACCATCAACAGGCCACAATTGTGGGCAATTCTTCGTGATTTCGGAGTTCCTGACTCTCTGCTCGCAATCATTAAAGGGCCTTCGTGATGGTGGGCACGGCAGAGCGGGTTAGAGCTACGTGGCCAGGAGTCGGAGCCATTCCCTGTACACCTTGGGGTGCGACAGGGATGTCCTCTGGCTCCCACATTTCTTAACATCATCGTTGACCACGTAGTTCGAGAAGCTTTCCATGGCTATACCAAGTTGCGATGTTCGCGCACCGCCCCAGGTATTCATTTGAGGCTGCATCGACCTAGGGGAGGCCCAGGACCCGTTCGGATAATCGTCACCGATGTTGGCCGTGAGCAGGAATCGAACCCGGCTCGCCAGGTTCGTCGCGCAGCGTAGCACAGGGACACACAACAACAACAAACAAACAAAAACCACAACCAACAACACCAACAAACAACGCCAGCGCGCCGTGAAATAAACACGCGCTTACCAAACGCTCAGCGTCTCAAGATTTTATTGAGGCCCCCCGACACAGTCCGAACGACCACCCGCACACACAACAACACAGCGGTGTGGGAGCCTCTAACACGCGTCTCTTCATCGCCGCCCTCCCACCACCACCACCACCGCCGCAACCTCGGCGGACGCGGCGGCACGGCGAGCCCATCGCGACTCGCTCGCTCGCCATCCGGAGTCCCGGTAACGTGGTCGCGCTTTTCCCGGGAGCCCTTCATGCACGTGGGGAGGTCGCCGGTGCCGCCGCGTCCGCGACTCGAACGGTCGAATCCGTCAAGTTCAGTCGATCCGTCGCGTCCCGTCCGTCGCGTCCCGTCCGACCGCTCGGAGGTTCATCCTCGGCACGCGTGATCGTGACGTGTGTCGGCGCTACCTTTCACCGGTTTCCTCTCGCCTGCCACCCCCCCCCCCCCCCCCTTTGCCCGCCCGCCACACACCGGGGAATCGAACCCAGGCTGGAAGCGGGCGGTCAACGTCTCGTGGGGGAGCGGGGGGGGGGGGGTCAGGAATCGAGCGTCTAAGCCACGGACCTCCTGCACGCCAGGCGAGGGAGTTAACATTTCCTCGCCGCTGTGGCTCGCGCACGATTTTGGTGTGACCCCCTCCCCCGCTCCGCACCCCCATGATGGGGGGGGGGGGGCGAGAAGAAAGCCGTCGCTATCGCCCACGATCTTTTTATTTTGTTTTTAAATGTTTAAACCACTTCATGGACTAGAGAGAGAATTAAGAACAAGTTGTACGTGTCGTCCGCTGGGATGTCGTGGGGAGCGGTCATGTGCGTGTGTGTGTGTACACGTGTGTGTGTACGTGTGTGTGTGTACGCGTGTGTGTGTGTACATGTGTGTGTGTGTACATGTGTGTGTGACGCGTGCGGGTTTGTGTGTGTGTGTCTACGCGTGCGTGTGTACATGTGTGTGTGACGCGAGTGTGACGCGTGTGTGTCTACACGTGTGTGTGTGTACATGTGTGTGTACATGTGTGTGTGACACGTGGGTTTGTGTGTGTCCATGTGTGTGTGACACGTGGGTTTGTGTGTGTCCATGTGTGTGTGACACGTGCGGGTTTGTGTGTGTGTGTACGCGTGACACTGGCAAGTTTGTGTGTGCGTACAGGTTTGTGTGTCTGTGTGCGTGACGCGTCTGCACGCGTGTGCGTGCGGATGAGACGCGCGCGTGTGTGTGCGTGTGTGTGTACGTGTGTGTGTACGTGTGTCTTTGTGTGCGCGTGTGTGTGTGCGTGTGTATGTGTGTGCGTGTGTGTGTACGCGTGTGTGTGTGTGCGTGTGTGTGTACGCGTGTGTGTGTGTGTACGTGTGTCTTTGTGTGTGCGTGTGTGTGTGTGCGTGTGTCTTTGTGTGCGCGTGTGTGTGTGCGTGTGTATGTGTGTGCGTGTGTGTGTACGCGTGTGTGTGTGTGCGTGTGTGTGTACGCGTGTGTGTGTGTGTACGTGTGTCTTTGTGTGTGCGTGTGTGTGTGTGCGTGTGTATGTGTGTGCGTGTGTGTGTACGCGTGTGTGTGTGTGTGCGTGTGTGTGTACGCGTGTGTGTGTGCGTGTGTCTTTGTGTGCGCGTGTGTGTGTGTGTGCGTGTGTATGTGTGTGCGTGTGTGTGTACGCGTGTGTGTGTGTGTACACAATCCCCACGACAGCCTCTCACAACACGAGTAACGGTTCACATCCGACAGCACGAACTACAACGAGGAAACAAGATCAACATTAAGAAATGAAAAAAACATCGACCTTCGGTCATATACTGTATGTGCGTGTCCGTTGTATGCGCGTGTACATGTGCGTATGTGCATGTGTGTATGTGCGTGCGTGTATGTGCGTGCGTGTGTGTGCGTGCGTGCGCCTGTGTGCGTGCGTGTGCCTGTGTAAGTGTGTGTACGTGCGTGTGTGTGCGCACGTGCGTGTATGTGTAAATGTGCGTGTGTGTATGTGTGCGTGTGTGTGTGCGCGTGTGCGTGTGTGTATGGGCGTGCGTGTGTGCGCGTGTGTGTGTATGTGTAAGTGTGTATGTGTGCGTGGGTGTGTACGTGCGTGTGTACGCGTGTGTGAGTGCGTGTGTGTACATGCGTGTGAGTGTGTGTGTATGTGTAAGTGTGTGTGTATGTGTAAGTGTGTGCGTGTGTGTATGTGTGTGTGTACATGTGTGTGTGCGTGTGTGTACGTGCGTGTGTGTATGTGTAAGTGTGTGCGTGTGTGTGTGTACATGTGCTTGTGAGTGTGTGTATATGTAAGTGTGTGTTTAAGTGCGTGCGTATGTGTGTATGTGTGTGTACGTGTGTGTGTGTATGTGTAAGTGTGTGTGTGTATGTGTGCATGTGTGCTTGTATGTGTAAGTGTGCATGTGTGTGTACATGTGTGTGTGCGTGTGTGTGCGTATGTGTGTGCATGTGCGTGTGTGTACGTGTGAGTGTGTGTGTATGTGTAGGTGTGTGCGTGTGTGTACGTGTGAGTGTATGTGTAAGTGTGCGTGTGTGTGTACATGTGTGTGTACGTGTGAGTGTGTGTGTATGCGTGTGTGTGTACATGTGTGTGTACGTGTGAGTGTGCGTGGTCCGACTCGACCACTCTGCCCATAACCCAAGGCGCCCCCCCCCCCAACAGACCAACCCCCGCCGTGACCGCCCCCCGTTCCGACGAGAGCCCCTACGGCGTAGTTTCTGCTCCCCCCTTCATGTGCGCGACCCCCGCGGGGGGGTAGGGATGAACGTGGGGGGGGGCTAACCCCGAGTAACCAAATGGGGGGGCAGCAAAATAATAAAAAAATTCCCAAAACTTCACCCAAACTTCCGAGTCGTCCGTCCACTCGTCCGACCGTCATCCGTTCCGTTCCCACCCATCATCCGTTCATTTGCTCGAGATGTTAACTACCTCGCCGGGTGCGCAGGAGGTCTCCGTGGGTTCGATCACGACCGACCCCACCTCCTGACGTCGTCCGCTGTATATTTGGGGGTCTGCGTGGCTCCCTCTCTCTCTCTCCCCCCCCCCATCGATCGCTCTGCCCGTGGGACGCGTGGATTCGTCCGGTGCCTTCCCCCTTCAACGGCACGAATCGACGGCCCACGTGCGGGTCGCTACGAATTTGAGCGATGGGAGCCCGCCGACGAATTTACAGCCGACAAATACTCTCTAAGCGCGGAGACCCCGGTAGAAGAATCCAAGCGACCACGTGGGGAGAGAGAGAGAGACCCGCAAACTCCCACACATCCAGCAGGCGTCCGTCGTGAGGGGTCGGGGTCGAACTCACAACCTCCTGCGTGCCAGGCGAGGGAGTCAACATCTCGCGAGGTTCAGAGGAGGGGGGCGGCTTAGTTGGCGGGGTCAGAGGTCAGAGGCGAGCCCCCACCTCTCCCGGCCTCAGCCGCGACCCCTCCTCGCTTTCATTCACTCGTCATTCACTTTCATTCCTTCACTCCTTCCTGTCATTCACTCGTCAGTCACTTTCATTCCTTCACTCCTGCCTTTCATTCAGCGGTCAGTCACTTTCATTCCTTCACTTCTGCCTTTCATTCAGCGGTCAGTCACTTTCATTCCTTCACTCCTTCCTGTCATTCACTGCTGAGTCACTTTCATTCCTTCACTCCTTCCTGTCATTCAGCAGTGAGTCACTTTCATTCCTTCACTCCTTCCTGTCATTCACTCGTCAGTCACTTTCATTCCTTCACTCCTTCCTGTCATTCACTAGTCAGTCACTTTCATTCTTTCACTCCCTCCTGTCATTCACTCGTGAGTCACTTTCATTCCTTCACTCCTTCCTTTCATTCACTGTTGAGTCACTTTCATTCCTTCACTCCCTCCTGTCATTCACTGCTGAGTCACTTTCATTCCTTCACTCCTTCCTGTCATTCAGCGGTGAGTCACTTTCATTCACTCACTCCTTCCTGTCATTCACTCGTCAGTCACTTTCATTCCTTCACTCCTTCCTGTCATTCACTGCTGAGTCACTTTCATTCCTTCACTCCTTCCTGTCATTCACTGCTGAGTCACTTTCATTCCTTCACTCCATCCTGTCATTCACCCGTCCCCTTTCATTCCTTCACTGCTTCCTGTCATTCAGCGGTGAGTCACTTTCATTCCTTCACTCCTTCCTTTCATTCACTCGTCCCCTGCTTTCATTCCTTCACTCCTTCCTGTCATTCACTAGTTAATCACTTTCATTCCTTCACTCCCTCCTTTCATTCACTCGTCCCCTCCTTTCATTCCTTCACTCCTTCCTGTCATTCACTCGTGAGTCACTTTCATTCCTTCACTCCTTCCTTTCATTCACTGCTGAGTCACTTTCATTCCTTCACTCCTTCCTGTCATTCACTCGTGAGTCACTTTCATTCCTTCACTCCTTCCTGTCATTCACTAGTGAGTCACTTTCATTCCTTCACTCCCTCCTGTCATTCACTGCTGAGTCATTTTCATTCCTTCACTCCATCCTGTCATTCACTCGTGAGTCACTTTCATTCCTTCACTCCCTCCTGTCATTCACTGCTGAGTCATTTTCATTCCTTCACTCCTTCCTGTCATTCACTGCTGAGTCACTTTCATTCCTTCACTCCTTCCTTTCATTCACTCATCAGTCACTTTCATTCCTTCACTCCTTCCTTTCATTCACTGCTGAGTCATTTTCATTCCTTCACTCCTTCCTTTCATTCGCTGGTGAGTCACTTTCATTCCTTCACTCCTTCCTGTCATTCACTCGTCAGTCACTTTCATTCCTTCACTCCTACCTGTCATTCACTAGTGAGTCACTTTCATTCCTTCACTCCTTCCTGTCAATCAGCGGTGAGTCACTTTCATTCCTTCACTCCCTCCTTTCATTCACTCGTCAGTCATTTTCATTCCTTCACTCCTTCCCGTCATTCACTTGTCAGTCACTTTCATTCCTTCACTCCTTCCTGTCATTCACTCGTGAATCACTTTCATCCCTTGACTCCCTCCTGTCATTCACTGCTGAGTCATTTTCATTCCTTCACTCCTTCCTTTCATTCGCTGGTGAGTCACTTTCATTCCTTCACTCCTTCCTGTCATTCACTCGTCAGTCACTTTCATTCCTTCACTCCTTCCTTTCATTCAGCGGTGAGTCACTTTCATTCCTTGACTCCCTCCTTTCATTCGCTCGTCAGTCACCGTCAGTCCTTCGTCGCCACCTTTCATTCCTCCCGACAGCCCCCCGCCGCCTCTCACCGTCACACGGAGCTCCGCCCGGCGGCAGCCGCCGCCTCTCAGCGTCACAACTGCTGCCGCTTGCCCGTCCGGCGTCAGTCGGCGACCGTCGCCCGGGGCCGTCACTGTCACGTCTCCTCCGTGACGTCACCGCCGACGTCACCGGCGCCGCCCCGTCAGGCGCACGACGCCGGCAGCCGCGTCGCCCCGCGGCACCGTCAGCCGACGGTCGCCACGACCGCGGCGGCGGCGGCGCCCGGCAACGCTTTGGCCGCAGGGCCGAGCGTCCGTCAATGTCACCGTCACGCGACGCCGTCACCGTCACCACCGTCACCACCGTCACCGCCACCGACGCCCGCGTGCTCCATCGCTCACCGGTAGCCGAAACGAACGCGACCGGGCGGCAGCGGTCACCGGCTACCGCTGCCGGCGCCGCCGTCCCCGTGGTGGTGGCCGTGGTGGCCGTGGTGGTTTGGAGGCGACTTCTTGAGCTGCCGTCGCAGCGCGTCGATCTTGCCGCGCGTCTCCACGTCTTCTTCTCCGTGCGCCTCGGTTCTCTTGTCGTCGTCGTCGTCTTTGCAGTCGTAGTCCACGATCGCCGGCCGCTCCGCCTCCTCCCCACCTCCGACGCCGCCGCCGTCGCCAGGGCGAACCTTCGCGACGTCCTGCGGGGGGCCGGGGCAGAGCGGGCGGGAGGGTTCGTGGCGACCGAGCGGTTAAGCGTGCGCGCTGAGGTCCTTCTTCCGACGACGACGGTGCCGGTGGTCGTGATCACCGGCGAAACGTCACGGTCACTCGGACCATAGATGTCGCTGCCGGTTTAACTCTCTCCGACGCGCGACAAACGATTAGTGCCCAACCAGCAACGAGTTTGGGCCACGCTTTGTTCACGCGGCCCAACCGCCCCGCTAAATTGGTGGGCGGTGGCGGGTTGAACGACACGTGAACGTTCACGCGGTGAAATCCGTCACGTCGGGGAGCTACTTTTGACACGACTCGGGACGTGCGGCACCGTGATAACGCCGCTTCTGAGCGCTCGACAACGAACCGATTTCTTCGTACGGTACGCGCGGAACGACACGGTGACGTGCTGGCGAGGGCGGTGGTGGCGGTCATCACAGTGGTCACAGTGACGTGGCATCTGGGCGAACTTTAGCGTTGCTACGTTGTTTACAGACACGTCATCGTTTCGGCTCGGGGCGCTGCGCTTTTCACGAACGCGTCTTCGACTACGACGGCTGCCACGCGCGGGCAGCAGGCAAAACCAACAATAGTTTTAAAACGTACACATAGACAACTGGAACGATCACGGTGGCGTCATTCCTTTCACGCGGCACTTTTTTGGCAACAAAACTGACACCTTTTTTACAAGGAGTCATGTTTGCATTGACCACAATACCTGCAGTCGGAATCCAAACAAACAACACAACTCTGATAATGTGTGCACTGTCCTTGAAGTTGATTGGTCCACACCCGAAACAGCTTTCCTTAGAGCCTAGTCTCACGTGGTGTTGGACCAGATGACGCCAAAAGGCATCTCCTACTACTGAAACTGCGAGTAAAAATATCATAATTTGTGAGCAGGCTGCAGGTAAAAACATTTTATTTTTTATATATAAATCGTTCGGCTGGAACGATCGCGATGACGGCCGCGCTGGTCACTGCACTCACGGCGGTGGCGACGGTGGCGGTGGCGGTGGCCTCGCCGCTGGGCGGGCAGGCCCCGCACACCTCCTTGGCGTGGGTGGCCACGATGGCCGACTCCACGTACGGGAAGTCCAGGAAGGAGTAGGGCAGCGAAAGGCGCACCGTTAGGCGTCCGCACCTGCACCGGGGAGGGAGGAGGAGGAGGATGAGGAGGATGAGGAGGAGACGCACGAGGGGGGAGACGCTTTGACGGAGCCGCTCAAGATAAAAGCAACTCTGAACTATTTAAACTTTCACCATTGCAACCTCATTTGACAGTAAAAATATGATATTTGGTTTTTTCCCCTTTTTCCTGGCAACAAAACTGACACCTTTTGCAAGCAATCATGTTTACATTAACCACAATACTTGCAGTCAAATGCAAACAAAAAACAATACTCTAGACTTGAAGCTTTCGTGACTGCAAGGAATCATATTCTTAGGTGTTTTCGGTAAAGTCACGTAGGTAAAACATCAAAATTAATAAAAATAATAAAATAAAAATAAAGATCACGACGTTTCGGAGGCAACACAAGTCTCCGTCATCAGGTGGGACAGTCACAGCCAGATCAGCTGCATCAAGTGAGGCAATGATTTAAGATGTAATCCCTTAAAAGCGAGTTGAGGGGGGGAGGAGAGGGGGGGGAGGGGCTCATCGGAATGTGGTAGCCAATGAATGGAAAGTATCGGGAGAGAAGGGCCAACAAAAAGGTGGGCGACGGCGTGGAAGCTATTGTGCGCAAGCGACACACTGCTGCCCACGCCAACGCATTGGGCAGAGAGGGGGGAGGGGGGAGGTCTGATACACATGATAGAAAAGAAAAGAAAATGCGTATGTTTATACCAATGCTGGCTAAACAATGAAGAGATTACTGTTAAACACTGGGGAAGTTAACACTCGGTCAAGTAAAGTAAACTAGTGTCTGTCAGATAAGATGGTCAAAAAAGTGTAATTAAGTCTTTTTTGCGTGGTTAATAACATCTTTCCAATGATTACTAAGTTTGTACCCATCATCACGGTTGAAATTATGTCTGTGTTTGTATATTTGTATGGCTTCGTGTACAAACCTTTGATGGTAGCCAGAAGGTTTGCAGAGAACCTTGGTCTCGGAAAAGACAATTTCATGAGAGCCCACTGAGTTGTAGCAATGATCGGCAACGGCCGAAGAATCAGTTCTGCCGTGTTTCAGATCTGACTTGTGCTCGCGGACACGATCAACAACATGGCGTTTCGTTTCTCCAATGTAGCAATCCCCACAAATGCAACTCAATTTGTAGACTCCAGGATACTGTAAGTCAGGAACACCATCCTTCACAGATGGAATCAGATCCGAAAACACCTAAGAAAACAATACTCTGATAAATTATGCACTGTCCTTGAAACTGATTGGTCCACACCAGAGACAGCTTTCTTTAGAGCCTTGTCTCATACGGTGTTCGACCAGATGACGCCAAAAGGCGCACACAAAAGGCGCACACAAAAAAAGGGGGGAAAAAACCCTATTAGTATATTTTGGTACTGCCAAAGGAGGTCCCATGATGCAACTCTGAACTATTTAAACTTTCACCATTGGAACCTCATTTGCCAGTAAAAATATGATAATTGTTTTTTTACCCTTTTACCTGGCAACAAAACTGACACCTTTTGTTTTTTCACTACCAGGTAAAAAGGCCCCACTAGGTGCAGGAGGAGGTCATGGGGCAGACCCAGGTGGTGCCATGGGTTGACTGCTGTGCCAGGCTAGGTGCAGGAGGAGGTCACGGGACAGACCCAGCAGGTGCCATGGGTTGACTGCTGTGCCAGGCTAGGTGCAGGAGGAGGTCACGGGACAGACCCAGGTGGTGCCATGGGTTGACTGCTGTGCCAGGCTAGGTGCAGGAGGAGGTCACGGGACAGACCCAGCAGGTGCCATGGGTTGACTGCTGTGCCAGGCTAGGTGCAGGAGGAGGTCACGGGACAGACCCAGGTGGTGCCATGGGTTGACTGCTGTGCCAGGCTAGGTGCAGGAGGAGGTCACGGGACAGACCCAGCAGGTGCCATGGGTTGACTGCTGTGCCAGGCTAGGTGCAGGAGGAGGTCACGGGACAGACCCACGTGGTGCCATGGGTTGACTGCTGTACCAGGCTAGGTGCAGGAGGAGGTCACGGGACAGACCCAGCAGGTGCCATGGGTTGACTGCTGTGCCAGGCTAGGTGCAGGAGGAGGGTCACGGGACAGACCCAGGTGGTGCCATGGGTTGATGAACTGAGGATGACTGGGGCACGGCTGGTGCATCACCACCACCATCACCACCATCACCACCACCGCAGCACCCAAAGATCACCCAGCGCACGTGCACGGCAATTACTGGACACGGTGTGCCCATCGAGCCCCCCCCCCCTCGACCTGTCGTAGACGAAGATGTCGTTGCGCTGCCCGCCCAACAAGGTCCACAGGTCGGGGCCGGACGAGGCCTGAGCGTGGGCCGTCACCGCGGACGACGAGGAGGAGGATGATGGGGAGGAGGAGGAGGGGAGGAGGCGTCGTGCCAGGCGGCGGGCGGAGGAGCGCGAGTGGGGGCCGCGCTCGCTGAGCAGCGCGTAGGCCACGTCGCTCAAGCCGCGCGCGTCCAGGCGTGCGCGCAGCTTGTCCAGCCTGCGTGTGCGTGCGTGTAGGTGTGTGTGTGTAGGTGTGGGCGTGTAGGTGTGGGTGGGTGGATGTGCGTGTGTGTGTAGGTGTGGGCGTGTGTGTGTAGATGTGGGCGTGTGTGTGTAGGGGTGGGCGTGTGTGTGTAGGTGTACGTGTGGGCGTGTGTGTGTAGGTGTACGTGTGGGCGTGTGTGTGTAGGTGTACGTGGGTGGATGTGTGTGTAGGTGTATGTGTGTGTAGGTGTACGTGGGTGTGTGTGTAGGTGTGTGTGTGTAGGTGTACGTGGGTGGATGTGCATGTGTGTGTACACGTGTGTAGGTGTGAATGTGTGGGTTTGCGTTTGTGTAGATGTGAATGTGTGTGTGTGTAGGTGTGAATGTGTGTGTGTGTAGGTGTGAATGTGTGTGTGTGAATGTGTGTGTGTGTAGGTGTGTTGGTGTGTGTGTGTAGGTGTGAGTGTGTGTGTAGGTGTGAATGTGTGGTGTGTGTGTGTAGGTGTGTTGGTGTGTGTGTAGGTGTGTAGGTGTGAATGTGTGTGTGTAGATGTGAATGTGTGTGTGGGTGTGTGGGTGTGTGTGTAGGTGTGTGTGTGTACACGTGTGTAGGTGTGAATGTGTGGATTTGCGTGTGTGCGATAAATGCACGACAATAACAATTAATAATAATGGAGGCCTGTGCGTCTCGGGTAACAATTCGTTTTAGCGCCTTGCGGGGTCAACTGTCGGGGGAGGTTGTGGTGCCTGGAATGGCTGAGTAGGGGGCCAATTCGTGAGTGGGAATCCTTGCCACGGCCATCGCGAGTGAATGCGGTGGCAACTATGAAAGGTCTAAAATACAGAAGCGAGCGCATCCGAGAATGTGCGCCGAAAATTGCCCCCAAAGCTCCACGACGTCTCAACACCGCAACTTGACCCACGCGTGCGCGCGTGTGTGTACGTGTGTGTGTGTAAGTGTGTGTGTGTAAGTGTGTGTGTGTACGCGTGTGTGTGTGCGTGTGTGTGTACATGTGTGTGTGTGTACGTGTGTGTGTGTGTATGTGTGTGCGTGTGTGTGTACGTGTGTACGTGTGTGTGTACGTGTGTGTGTGTACGTGTGTGTGTGTACATGTGTGTGTGTACGTGTGTGTGTGTACGTGTGTGTACGTGTGTGTGTGTACGTGTGTGTGTGTGTACGTGTGCGTGTGTACGAGTGTGTGTGTCCCCGACTGTGGGGAACGGTAGTGGTAGCGGTTATCGCTACGCTGAACTACGAACCTGGCGACCCGGGTTCAATTCCCGCTCACGGCCAACACCGGTGACGAATATCTGAACCGGTCATGGGCCTCCCCTAGTTCGACTCAGCCTCAAATGAGTACCCGGTGCGGTGTGTAAACATCGCCACTGGGGAGACAAAGGCGGCCGGGCGTGGGGTTGCTGCCCACCCACCCCACCTCGTGTGCCGTGCCGGCCTTCACAGGAGCTCGCTAACAGCACTTGCCCCATACATTCTGTTAATACTCTTGGGTTTTTTCGGTAAAGTCACGTAGGTAAAAAATAAAATTAAAAGTTAATAAAAGTAATAATGGAAATAAAATAAAATAATAAATCACGACGTTTCGGAGCCAACACAAGTCTCCGTCATCAGGTGGGACCGTCACAGCTAAAATTACTGCATCAAGTGACACACACACGTCCTGATGTATTATTTTATTTTATTTCCATTATTACTTTTATTAACTTTAAAAAAAAAAAATTTACCTACGTGACTTTACCCGAAAAAACCTAAGAGTATGAATCCTTGCAGTCACGAAAGCTTCAAATCTAGAACATTCTGTTAAGGCCACCACCACCACCACCACCACTCACTCCGTGGCCTGCGATCGTCAGAGGCGGCAGCCTCCGGCCAGCAGCGCCAGCACGCGCACGCATCCCGCGTGCTCCGCCATCGGGTCGACGCCGTCCGCGTCCCTCCAGGAGGGCGCCGGTCGGCAGAGCGCGAGGGCGTCCTTCGCCTCGTCCACCCTCCCCACCTCGTCCCCTCCTCCTCCTCCTCCCCCGGCCGGGACTGCGACGTGCCGAGGTCTAGCCGCCAGCGTGGACGCGGCTCCGGCCAACAGGGCCAGGAACGCCACCGCCACCGTCAGCGCCACCGGCCGTGGTGGCCGTGATGACGGTGGCGGTGGCGGTCGCCCCGGGGGTTTGCCCCACGGCTGAGGCCCCATGGCCCCGCCGGGAGGGCCTGGCGCCTCAACGCGCTGCCGGAGAGAGAGAAGAGAGAGGCATGGGTGATTATACTGGTAGGAATCTCCTGGTTACACCAGCCCACAGGGGATTATTGTGTCCGTCGTGCAGGGAGGGGCTGGGTGGGGAGGGTGGGGCTGGGTGGGGAGGGGAGGGTGGGGTGGGTGGGGAGGGTGGGGAGGGGCTCGGTGGGGAGGGTGGGGCTGGGTGGGGCTGGGTGGGGAGGGGCTGGTCACCCCGTGGTGCCCTTATAAAACTCAATGTTTAACCTACTCACGCCGACTTGTGCCCGCCCTCGGAATACACCACGCCGCCGTTGACCCTGGCCATTGAACGAGCAACCCAACGTTCCTACCAGCTCCCTCCGCAGGAGGAATGTGTTTGGTGGTGGATGCCGACGCGAGGATTGAGGCGATTGGATTTAGTTTTTTGTGGCAGGGCGACAGGGAGGGTGCTTCTGTTCTAAACCTTGGCCGTGCGACAGAGATGAAGAGAGATGAAGAGAGAGAGACATCGGTGATTGATGGTGGACGCTTGGATTAACGGGGCCGATCTTTTTGAATTCGTCATTGAAAATATGTTTTGGTGGTGGTGGGGGGAGGAGACGGTGCTTCTGTTCTAAACCCTGGCCACGTGACGGGCAGCAGCAACAGCAGCAGCAAGGTGGCTCAGCAACTCGATGCTGCTCAATGTGGAAGTCCAGATTTTGCTGCTGCTGATGCTGATGCTACTGATGCTGCTGATGCTGCTGCTGATGATGCTGATGCTGCTGCTGATGCTGCTACTGATGCTGCTGCTGATGCTGCTGCTGATGCTACTGATGCTGCTGCTGCTGATGTTACTGATGCTGCTGCTGCTGATGCTACTGATGCTGCTGCTGATGCTGCTGCTGATGATGCTGATGCTGCTGCTGCTGATGCTACTGATGCTGCTGATGCTGCTGCTCGCCACAACGAGAGGGCTTCAGGAGCAGCAGCAGAGAGAGAGAGAGAGCGTTCGTGTGGCCCCTGCTGTTCCTTCTCCACCACTTGTGTTGTTGTTGTTGTTGTTGGGGTTAGAGCAGGGGTCCCCAACCTCCGGGCCAACGGTACCGGTCCGTGGCCTGTTAGGACCCGGGCCGCACGGTAGCAGCAGGAGGTGAGAGCGGTGAGTCAAAAACAAACGTCGCTGGAAAGACCCAATGATGACCCCCCCCCCACCCCCCTGGTCCGTGAAAAAATTGTCTTCCACGAAACCGGTCCCTGCTGCCAAAAATGTTGGGGGCCGCTGGGGTTAGGGGGTTACGGGGTCACAGGCCACGCACGCGACATTTGAGCTGTGGACAAATCTACACAAGTGTACACACACACGCACATCCACCCACATCTACACACACACCCACACCTACACACATTCACACCTACACACGTGTACACACACACATCCACCCACGTACACCTACACACACGCACATCCACCCACGTACACCTACACACACACACCAACACGCACATGTGACGATGTCACCACGGGCGGTTGTTTCAGCTTCGCTGGGGAGTTGAGGAAGCGATGCTTCACAGCCACATTTTATTTATACAAATTTTTACAACAAAAACATGTTTTTTTATTCTAGTGCCAGGGAAAGCCTCACTGGGCTGTCGGAGAGTTTGCTCTTTTTTTCAGAAGCGGCCTCGCCATCGCAAGTGAGAGCTTGGCGATGTGAGCTCTTATCATCATCATCGTCGTCGTGTTGACATATATAACAGTCGCCAAACAACCCTCTAACACGCGTGGTGTTGATTCTAAATGTGAAGAGGGGAAGAAACCGGACGACCCCGGACAAAAATCCACGCGACCACGGGGAGAGTTGGGGGGGGGGAGAGACACGCAAACTCCAAATATACAGCAGCAGCAGGCGTCAGGGTCGGGATCGAACCCACGACCTCCTGTACACCAGGCGAGGTAGTTAACATCTCCTAGCCACCGTGATGATAATGATGAGAGAGAGAGAGACACCGCAAACTCCAAATATACAGCAGCAGGCTTCAAGGTCGGGATCGAACCCACGACCTCCTGTACACCAGGCGAGGTAGTTAACATCAGTAATTGTTGGAGCAGTTGACAACACACGTACACATCGGTTTTCAATGTACTTTGCAATTGTATTGTTCTTTATTTATAATCTTAAAAGCTGTAAGGCCACATTAAATGCGAAAAGCAAATACCGCAAATACAAAGATCCCCCGTATAGCCTTTAACAGACTGTAGGGGCAAGTGCTGTTTGCGAGCACCTATGAAGGCTGGCACGGCACACGAGGGGGTGGGTGGCCAACACCCACTCCCGGCCGCCTTTGAGGCCGAGTCGACCTAGGGGAGGCCCAGGACCGGTTCAGATAATCGCCACCGGTGTTGGCCGTGAGCGGGAATCGAACTCGACTCGCCAGGTTCGCAGCGTAGCGCGCTAACCGCTACACTACCACAAACACACTCACATGCACACACACACACGCTACATACACACACACACACTGCACACACACACACGCTACATACACACTCACATAGACACACACTGCACATACACTCTGCACACACACTCTGCACACATACACTACATACACACTCACATGCACTACATACACTGCACACACACATACACGCAGTACACACACACTACATACACACTGCACACACACTACATACACACACTTGCACACACACACGCTACATATACACACACACTTGCACACACACACTCTGCACACACACACACTGCACATACACTACCACAAACACACACTCACATGCACACACACACTGCACATACACTACACACACACCGCACACACACGCTACATACACACATGCACACACACACACGCTACATACACACTCACATGCCCCCGCACGGATAGATGTCGTGTGTGTTGTGCATCCTGGTTGGCAGAGTTGGCGGAGTGACACCCACCCCCCCCCCCCCCCCCATTTGTCCGATTCCTTCACGCTCGCCCCAGTGTGGGCCAGTCAATGGAGCAGTGGGGCTCCCCTAGGTCGACTCAGCCTCAAATTAATACCTGGTGCGATGTGTAAACATCGCCACCTAGGGAGACAAAGTCGGTCGGGCGTAGTGCTGGCCACCCACCCCCTCGTGTACCGTGCCGGCCTTCATAGGTGCTCGCTAACAGCACTTGGCCCTTCAGTCTGTTGAGGCTATACGGGGGATCTTTGTCTTTTCTTTGTGTGTGTGTGATGTGTGTTGTAATGTGTACATGCGTAAGGTGTGTGTGTGGTGGATGTGTGTGTGGTGGATGTGTGTGTGGTGGATGTGTGTGTGGTGGATGTGTGTGTGGTGGATGTGTGTGTGGTGGATGTGTGTGTGGTGGATGTGTGTGTGTGATGTGCGCGTGTCTGTTGCTGTGGCTGTGAGGGAGCGGTGGTGCAACGGTTAGCGCGCTGCGCTACGAACCCGGCGACCCGAGTTCGACTCCCGCTCGCGGCCAACACCGCCCAGTGACGATCATCTGAACCGGCCCTGGCCAATAAGGCTCACCCCTCAAAAACAAAGGGAGCAAACAAACCACGTGTGACGATGTACGACGTTTCGGGCAATGGCACCTGTTTTGAAGCGTTAACGAGCCAATGGGAGAAGTAA